TACTACTAGTAAGGCACCTGTTACTACTAGCGTGGCACTTGTTACTAGTAGTTTTCACCACTCTCAGCCATCAGGACCAACCGCGGCCCACCGACCCGAGACACCGACGACCCGAGACCCGAGACACGCTGGCTTCGAACGAGGTTACCTGGCGGGTGTCACCGTGGATGCGCTGGTGCAGTTACGGGACCAATTCGGGAACAACCGCACCAGCAGCAGCACTAGCTTACTCTTTCAGGTGGGCCGCCCCACTGTGCCTCCAAAGAACTTCTTTGCGGCCATGCAGTTAATTAAGACTTAAGACTGAAGAGCTAATGCGCTTTTTTGGACAATGTAGAAGTTTCTTGTTAGCGTCTCTAGCGTCTCTTTCGTTTGGAACGGAATGTTGAAGGGGCTTTCGACGTCAAGATTTGAATCCGTCGACAGTCCTAGGGCCGCTTTGGACCCAGTACATTGGCCTATACAGATCACAATGATGGGCCTCATTCTTAGATATGGGATGAACCCCACAGTCAGAGCCAGTCATCTTGTCGTCTTGTCAGAAAGAACAAGCATGCAAGAAAGCAGTTCTTTTTTTTTGCGAGTCAAAGCTAAAGCAATCATATTGATGAGCGGCAGAAAGAAAGGCATGTGAACTCGGGACACTCAGCGTTTTGACCTTCTAGACTGGTGAAAAAACATTTGTTGCCAGTAAGCAGTAGCGCCCAGTAGCGCTTTGCCTTGCCGCTTGAGACTGAGGACAGTGACGGTCAAGGTGGGCACGCACTTGGTTTCTCGCTGAGAATGAATCGATGAGAAGCAGTTGCAGTCAGACCAATTTGCGTTCCAGACACATCACGGGAAAGCACGCTCTTACAGGACCTGATCAAAATAGCGTCCGGATCAGAAAGCATCCTTGTCCATGGTAAGGGGTAAGGTCAAGACTGAAGACCGTGTGGAAGCATTCTCGGAAGTACCGAGGGGTAGAACTTGTACACTTTGAACCTTTGTGATTCTTGACATCTTTTTTCCCTTGGCTCCTTTTTCAGAGTCCATTCTTTTTGCACCAATGCACGGGACGGGACGGTGGAATTACTGCAAGAGCTGAGGCTGGGCAACATCCGCTCCAGATAACATTGCTGGATCCACAGACGCCACACTTGGAGAATGTTGTTGGAGATGCTATGCCACTATTTGAATCAGATGTTCTTTTTCCTTTGTGCCTTCCTTTTCTTTTCTTGTGAGTGTTCTTTCTTTTTTCTTCGAGACAATATTGAACATTATCATGTCACTTTGTGTGGTTGTCATGTCGGATGGCACATCTAGATTCAACGAGCCGTCTCACCTGCAGGGCTGGAGTTCAGATTTCCAACACACCAACACCAGAGATCCCAGTTTGAAGCTCAGCTTCTAAACAATCTGAAGGCTGACAGACCAGTATCTACCAACCCATGAGCCGTTGAGGCAATCTGCATTCTTTGAGGTCAATAGCTCGCTTGCAAAGTATGATGGGACAGACTGTGCCATTCCTGCCCAAGTTACCGCCGGAATTCAATCGTTGTCGGATCCTCAGTATTTCCGGGCAATCCGCGTGCGTGCGATAGCGATAGCGATAGCCTTTATAGCCGAATAGCCTTTCAATGCTTTTCAACCCTAGGACCTGTATCAGTGAAACTTACTGTACTTGGGTTTTCTTCTCCACCATGAACATGTTGTTATGCACTCCGTTCGTTGTCTCGCCCGTGGACTCAGGACTCAGATCATTGGCTTGTCCCCACTGAATCATAAGTTCGTTCTTTGTTGTGTTCTCAATGGCCATGCTTGCCCTGTCTAGAGATATCCATTGGTTTTTTCCCATATCTTGTGTCCTTAGCGGTGGATGTTGCTGCATTTCTTGCGTAACTCTCGTTGCTTCTGTTCGTGTAACCTCAAGTGCGTCACTCGATTTCCACTGTGTGATCGCACAGATACAGATCGTCTTGAGTGTATTTGTGCTTTTTCAAGATGTTGAAGAACACCAGATTTGTCCGAGCAAAGAGACCTCCCTCAAACCGGCGGCGGTTTTACCACAGTGCTTGCGGATAGCGATGCTAATGTATCGTAATGTATCATCAAACACCTCCGGTGCAGAAAAAATCGTTCATTGTGGCTGCAGTTTACCCCTGAGTACTACTTGGTGCAATGCTATTTGATGATCTTAGATGGGTGTTGGAATCGCCTATGCTTGCAAGTTCAAGCAAGAATGCTTGTACACATATCCCTTGTTTCTAGTAGCGATGCCCGATGCCCTGGCTACTAGTAGCGGGGCACTTGTTACTATATAGTAGCTTCTAGCCACTAGTAGTAATGCCCTTGTTCCTAACATGTCCCTCGTTTTGACTATTTGAGGTGTTTGTCTTTTCGTCATGCGCTCCAGGTTCCAATGCTTTCCCCGAGACACCTTTGGCAACAAAGTTGTGGACAACGACATTTTTATCGAGGCGGAGATGCTGATGACAACACTTATATACACGGCCTTTGAACAGCAAGGGGTTTTATTCCAACTGGTTCTTCTGTCAGGCTGTGACGCATTTATCAGAATCGAAACGCTTCAGAATCGAACACACTTCAGATCTATTTCTGAACGAATTCTGTTTTTGTCCACGAACAGTGCTTCGTCTCAGTGCTTCGTGCCTTTGTCGTCGTTCCAGGCGGAGTTTGTGAACATGGATGACTCCAGCGCACCAGCACTCCGACCTGAGCACCAGCACTCTGAAGGGAAAAATCGACCATAGGCTTCATCACTCAAGGCTTCGAGTGCAACGAGTACAGGCGAAGTCTGCTAAGTGAATAAACAGTCTAGAAACGACAGGACGTTACAGGCGAACGTGAGCTATCCTGCGTCCTAGCTACCTCCGAAGCGAGTCGCCCTTGTAATTAAGTAGGCGCCCACTTTAAGTGAGGAGGCAGGGCCCGGCTCCGGGCTTCAAAAACCGAAGGACACGAGGCACGAGGACACACGCGCGAGAAACGAAGCGGTCCGAGGTGGTGACCGTTGCGGGGACCTACAGTCTTGTGGACGACAACTACGATTTCCCACTTCAGGTCTCCGGTCGTCTCAGCGGTGTCGCGTCCGATCGCTCCGTTTGAAGCGATGCCAGGAGCCCCGAACGTAGCTTCCCTTCCTTTTTTTCCCTTAATTCCTTTTTCTTTTCAAGGCCGTAATGCCCTCCCACCTACTAGTTCATGGCCTCCAACCTACTAGTTCATGGCCTGAATGCTTGCAGATCAACAAAGTTGGAGCGTACTCTGTGGTTACGCAGTGCCAACCTCAGAGGGGCAAATCAGCTGTTGTTGCCCTGAGATCTGGCAGCTTGATTCGTTGTTTCCCTTTTCAAACAACGTGCGGTGGCAGGTGCGGTGGCACACTTGACAACCCAAACACATCTCCTAACACATGAGGAAAAACAAGAACAGACATGGTTATTTGGCAGAATTCTTTTGAAGACGGATCATATCAATTCATCCAAAATCATCCAGAAAGTCATCAATTCCTCTCGTCTCGAAATCTGACGGATGAGGTTTTGGGCGCGTGGTGGTTTGATCGGCCGCTACTATCGAACTCCAGGCATCGCGACAGGACGAGAGAGTTCGTCTTTGCTTTTCAAAAGAAACGCCGATGCAAAACAAAACACGATATTTAGTGGACCAACATCTACCAATCTTGCAAGATCCTGCAAGATTTCAATATTATTTCAATGAGAGGTCATCGCTACTTAGTAGGTTGGGGGGCCATCGCTAGTAGGTTGGAGGCCATCGCTGTATTTCAATGAACATGTGAGGCTTCCAGAGCCTGGTGTCGCTGCTGACCGACCGACCACATCAGGGCTTGGCGCTCTTTGAGTACACACGAGTCTGATACCGAGTCCCTTTCCTTCTCCTGCCATTAGTTCCGAATAGTCAAAAGTAGTGCAAGGGCATAGTAGTGCAAAGTCTGAATTAAAAACAAATTGCAAATTGCATTGTGTTTTGGCAATGTCGTTCACAGAAATGTGCCAGACTTCGTTTCCGGTTTGCATCACAAGAATGCGACATTTCATTGCCAGTCTGCCAGCATGATCCAAGTTTGAGAGAATTACACTGATATCATGCAGTAGCAAATAGCTACTAGGAGCAAAGGGCATTGCTACTAGGAACAAGAGGATGCTACTATCATCACATCAGAGACTTACAGCTCAGAAGAGAGCGTCAGTCACCCAAAAGCGTCGGTCGCTGGAACGGGCCAGGCGGGCGATTGTGCCTGATTGTGCCCGTTCCACCTGGTTTCAGCCAAGGTGGATCCTCAGCTGAACATCATTTGGCCAGAGAGTCCAGTAGCTACATGCCCAGAGGATTATTACTCGGTGCATTGGCACGGCTACTTGCTGTCGAGGGCTCAGGACACAAAGCAACTTCAAAACTGATGCATGCAACTTGATTCACACAAGAAAGAGTATGCTTTCATCCTCGCCCAAAAAGGGGTTCCCTCCAGCATCAAGTCGCTGAGCGACCCACGCTCAGCTCGCTCGCTCGCTCTGGTCGAAACGCACATCGACCCGACTTGTGGGCCCCGTTCGGTTCGCGTCCGATCGCTCCAGACCCTTGGGTGGTGGACTGCGGCAAGAGTGGCACAACCCTTGTGGGTGAAGACTTGACACCGAGCCACGTTCCCGTTGGACCAATGCGGCAAGCTGCTTCCTTCATCTTCTCACAAGAAGCCCCGTTCGTAGCGAACCTTGCTTCGTTCGTAGTAAGGCCAGGAGCCCAGCTTCTTGTTACTAGTAGCGATGCCCGGAGCCCGTAGTAGCAGCTTGCCAGGTTTTTGCTCTGTATGTCCTGTGCGTTTCTTCAACCTTTTGTCTAACCAGAACGAATCTCGGAACGCATCTGATCCGCATGCAGGAACGGTCCACGCGCCCCACAAACAGCTTTGCGGCTTAACCCGTTCGTAGCAATGGCCTCCACTCTTGTTCCGTTCGTAGCGTCCGATCGTTCCCTTCGTAGTACGGCCAGGAGCCCCGTTCGTAGCATCCTTGCCCCTAGTAGCGATGCCCTTTGCTCCTAGTAGCATCCTCTTGTTCCGTTCGTAGGAAGGCCAGGAGCCCCGTGCGTAGCGAACCTTGTTTCTCCAGCCTTCATATGTTTGCACCGGAAGCAGTAGCAAGGACGCAGAAAAGCTCGGTTGCCTAGGCTTTGAGGGATATTTGCATTGGAACATGGATGCTCTCGTATCAACAAAATCTAGTAACTAGAAGCGAGGAGGCCATCGCTATTGGCTTGGAGGCCATCGCTACGAACGTAACAATAAAAAGCTTTCTATCACCTATTTTTCTACCTCTTGCTACGACGGAAAGCCGACGCGGTCCGAGCGAGCGATTCGCAGCTGCTGAAACAGCTCCGTGACGCGGTCCTGTTGGCACACCGACTGAGGCCAAAGGCCACTGGATTGCACAACATTCGAATTGAAGCAGACAGAGGTGCCCGAGTCATGGCCAGAGCCTCAGTGCGCCTTTTCGGCCGAAGTCGGACACTTCGGACGTCGGACACTTCGGATGCCGTGAATGGATCATCTCGGGTGAGGGTGGATTTGGATGCCGTGTGACTCAGGTGGGTTCTGCATGGGTCATTGACGAGATCGCTTCAGACACCGCAGTTCGTGCATCTGCACAAGTGAGTGCATCCCAGACGGTTCTGTTTTGGTCGCTACTGTAGTAGGTTGGAGGCCATTGAAGGGCCTCATTTCTCAGTGATTCACACTCTGAGTGTAAGTGCAAGTGGCCGCAAAGGAAGGCATTGAAAGACGCCGCTTCGGACCACAACTGCCAAGTTGATCCAAGCTGCCAGCACCACTTGATTTGCAGACTCCAAGCTGAACGCTTTCATGGAAAAAGCGATCAGTCCATTTCATGAATTCCTCAGGTGACGCTGACGAATCATGTTCCTGAGTACATCGAAGTTCAGTACAAGCATTCTGTCGCGTTCTCAACAAAGAGGCAGGAAGGCAATGGATAGCAGGGTGAGCTCTGGCAGCTTTTGTCAAACTTCAAGAGATGAAAGGTGAAAACAGCTTGTCCCTGGTAGTGCCAGTCACTTCCAGCTGAGGCAGGGACAGCCTATGTGCGTCTCTACTGGGTGCGCCAGCATTTTGCTGTTTTGGCCGAGAGAGACATGAGTTCCGCACAGCGCTTCGAAGCATCAAGACAGTTTGCTACTTGAAGGGTCTAATGCCTCCATCCTCTTGAACAAGCACACTCTATTTTTCCAGGAGTGCTTTCAAGAGTCAGTTGGGAGTGCCAAACAATTCCATACGTACTTGATATCATCACTTTCCAGGGCGATCTCAAGATGTCTTTGTTCTGTTTTTGACCTCCAATGATTCGCTTTACCTTCTTTTCTACCTCGAGATCTTCGATTCGTTCGGCCTGTAGTGCCTGTCCCACAGAGGCAGCTACGGAGTTCGAAGACGAGCTGGTTCCCAGCCAGTACTTGCTGCATCCGCTCAATGTCCCGCACCCAGCACAGAGCCCACATCAAATGCTCAAAGGAAGACCGTGACTTGCTTTGTCTTAGTGACTGGTCTTTCCGGGAACCCTGAAAGACTGGTGCTATGGAGTCCTGCACCGAAGGAGAAAACGTTTTTCATGTCTCGTAGCGTCCGATCGCTCCATTCGTAGCGAACAAAGACCTACCTACTAGCTTCTTGTTACAGGTGAAACGATTCCCAAGGAAGCTTCTAGCTACTAGTAGCGTTCTTGCTCCTAGTACAGCCAGGAGCTGCCTTTGTGCCTTCCTAGGTCTTGCCTTTGGACACAACTACTGTGGTGGTGCTGGGATTCCTGGAGATGGGAGAGCAAAGATCAAACTGATCCTGTGAAAGGTGACACTTGTTTCTTTCAATTCAAATCAATTTGATGTTAATTCGTAGTGAAGCTCATAGTGAGATCGTCCAGGTCACTCCTCACATGACTGCTGTCCTTGTTTAGTTGGTAGGTCGACCGAACTACTCCATAAACTAGGAAGGCCAAACAAGGTATCAAGTTCAAGTTTCCCTAAACATATGAAGCTGCATCTTAGCATTGTTAGTAGCTTTCTTGCAAGCTACTAATAGTCTACCAGTAGTAGTCTACCAGTAGTAGTCTACCGGTAGTGTACATCATCCAACCTCTGACGGAATTGATGCCTTGACTTGTTTTTCGAAGGCCGCAAGAAGCAGCGAACACCTCCACGGCCTCGGGCGAAGCTCGCCTGCATTGTTCAAGAGATACAGGTCGAAAGCAGGGGTCTAGATGCTGCTACATAAAGGTTTCTCTGAACACGTGACGATCTACAACATCCACCCAAAAACGATCTAGAACACTCTTCAGAAAGCAGTGGATCTCTCATCAAGTTGGGGTTTCGTCTGAGGTCGGCTTGTCCTTGATAACCTCTGGGCAGGCCCGTGAGATTCGCTGCGTGTCAGATTGCTCACCCGGCCACACAGCCTGCAGGACAATACCTTTGTGGTGCATACAAGGGACTCAGAAGACAATCCGCGGTCCACAGAAACGCGCGTGACTCAGTCTTCATGTAGAAAATCCAGTTGTTTTTTGCGTCCATGGTTTGAATGAACTCGTTCTTTCTTTCAAGCGGTTTTGCGGTCAAGAGCCTCACAGGGAGTTTGGCCAAAACAGGCAAGATATTGCACGCATTCGTGTATCCAGTGTGTGATGCTGGCAATGCAATTAGTCGCATCGCCAGCATTGCTGGAGCAATGTAAAAAACTTGGAAAACTTGTTGTCTTTCATTGTTTTTTAGGGTTTTTCTCCTCAGCTTCGAAGAACGTCCTCAGGAGCTCAGTTCTGTCCGGCTACCTGAGCTCGGAGCCGGCAGTGATGCTCTCCTTCACATATTTGGGAGGTGGAGAGACGAATCTAACCTTGAGTCCTTCGGTTTTGGACTTCCACAACAAGCCTTTCATGGCAAAGAGAGATGATTTTGGATTGACATTCATATCATTCATATATTCATATCATTTTGATCTTCTTTTCCTTTTCTTCGGCGTTTTTATGTTTCTTTTTCGCTTTTCCATCGTCCTTCAGGCTTCCTTTCTGAGAATCGTGGACTTCACACCGCTTTCTCGTACAGAATCCTGTCAGGTGGCAACTACACAGCCACTGTAAACCCGGTGGCCTCGGGTTCCTTCCAGATGCATGTGCTTGTGGATGGCATGGCCCCGAGCGGCGCATCCACGCGATTCGATGCGATTCGTTTGTTCGTTTGCTTGCAGATCTTGCTTGGCCATTGGGGCTCAACATTTACATGATTGGCATAGGTTGCTAGAAGCAAACGGAACCTAAGAGGACTGGCCTCCAACCCACTAGCGATGGCCTCCAACCTAAGAGCAATGGCCTCCAACCTAGTAGCGATGGCCTCCTCCAACCTAATAGCCATGATTGACATAGGTTTGAAGAATCATTATGTCACATGTCAGATATGTCATGTGCCACATGTGCTTCTTGCTGAAGTATCTTTGCGTGTGTTCAATGACTTGACTGGATGTTCTGAGCAACTTGTGCCTTTGGCACCAAAGGAGAACAACACCTCAGCACTTCTCTTCGCATTTCAAGAGCAAAAACCATACGAAAAACACAAGAACACACACTGTCCATATGGAGCCCGTCTGAAGTCTGAACCTGTTGATGGCGAAGCATGGCGCAGCACTTCTTCATTGCCGTCTTTGCTCCGGAGGGCTGGCCTTCCTCGGTGGCGCCGGAGTACGGTCGATACCAGCTCTGGGACACTATCCAGCAGGCGAGAGTGGACCAGTGGAGTGGAGCTCCCGGTGTTGATGGAACGAACGTGGAGTTTTGTGTCAACGAACCAGTTGTTTGGAGTTTTGGAGTTTTGTGAGGTTCGTGAGTGAGTTGTGTGGAGTTTTGTGAGTTTCGCGGAACATGCGCAGTCGAACAAAGTTTTTTTTTGGCAAGTGCAGGTGACCTTCTTCGTGAATACCGTCTCCCAGCTTTGCTTGTGGAGATCCATTGTTGTCCATACTCAAGACATGGGCATAGCTTTCTGAGAGAGAGAGAGAGAGAGAGTACTACTGTCTTGTCATCCAAGGTCATTAGCAAGCAGGCATTGGTCCTTTTCTCCTTTGAACACACGCACAACAGAGAGAGAGAGAGAGAGAGAGAGACAGGGAGAGGGAGAGGGAGAGAGCCTCGATACAGCTCGTCTAAACAAGCACACAGAGCATACTGCCCTTTGGCCTTTTCACCCCTTGCGGCTGGTTGAAAGTTCTTGGAAGGCAGTGATGAAATTCCATGGAGTTGGCGATCCCAACAAGACTCCAGCAGAGGCAACGGCATTGGAGATGGGACGAGGACTGAGAGTTGTCGCCTGTGCTGTTCTCGACACTTCAGAGCTTGCAGCTGGCATAATTTTTTTCGTTTTCTCCTTTGCCAAAGCCTTTGGACAGAGCTTAGCTGCTTAGCTTTGCTCCACAAAGCCCACCGAAGCCTTTTTGCTCGTCGTCCCCTCAGGACTCTTGGCCACGATCGTGTGCATGGTCGCCCCCCGACGGAGTTGGCCGACGGACCCGGTCAGCGAGACGTTGCAAAGCTGAGGTCGCCACGCCACACTTCACCGATCTCTACCGTGCCTGAAGCTTGCAAAAAGCTGCAAAGGGGCGATTCAAGTCTCAAACCAGGTATTCCAAGGTGCTAGGCATTCTTGCACTATACTACTAGTCTACTAGTAGCAAAACGTCTACTACTAGTCTACTAGTCTACTAGTCCAGTAAACCAGGCCATCTCTGGGGCCGGTGGGTGATTTCATTTGGCAGAGTGTGGTGTCATTTCTGGTGCGTGGTTTTTCTCATGCGGTGCTGTCCGATGCGGCAAGGGGGCAGGGTTGCTTATGTATTCTATTTTCCTTGGCCAGTCGCACCAAGCGGGTTGGTCTTTTCAGGTCTTTTCTCCACTGAAAAAGTCGGAAGGCCCGACAGACTTCCATCAGTCTCTTCAATTTTTGTCTCCATCTCCATCTGTCTGTAGAATTCTCGACTGTTTTGCCGCATCTCATTCGGCTTTGCTTTTCTGGGCTTCTAGCTAGTGCTAGATGTCTCTACTTACGAAACCCTGCTTTTCCGTACGTTTTAGACATCTCCACTCTTGTGTACTGGTAGCTTTCTGTGATCTCAACTTGTTCGTACTTTACACTAGAAGCCGGAACTATCTCAATGCTTTCGCGTGCTTTGCGCAATCTCTGCTTGTGTGCAATCTTACCGAAGAACTTCAACTATAGTCAGCGCTTTTCACAAACTCTACAACGGTCGCAGTGGACTTCGGACCATCAAAACATAAGGAAAACGTAAGGAAACCGTTTGCCAGCCGCTTGCGGGAAGATGGTCCGTCACGGCGAGGTATATACCGGCAGCCTGGCACGTCCACCGGGTCCAACCTGCTTCGGCAAAGTCCGACCGCTTCTCAGGCGTTAAGCCCTGAGTGTGTCGACTGATTTTGAAGCCAAAAAGCTGGGTAATGACACCTGAACATTTGCTTTTCAAGCTTTTTTCTCTCTTGAAACTTCTGCTTTCCTCATTCCTCCAACTTCCTGTGCGAACTGTTCTAACTCTCTTCCTCTTCAGCGAACTTCAGCCATAGGACGAGCAAATCCCACCTGCGAAAATCGAGACCCGAGCTGCGGCGCGGGGGGGCGGCGCTTAGTCGGCGTATCATCGCTTTTCAGCGCCCTTTGGCTTAGCGTCCGCACTCCCGACGCAGCGGCCGTTGATGTCAACCACTGAGCGACTTGACACAGCCCTCGCTCGCTCCCGTCCACGGTCCCCACGGTTTTGCCGTTGGCGGCGCAGGTCTCCTGTTTGACACCCAGAGCTGGAGGAAGTTGAGTTAGTGGGGTGCCTTTTGGAAGGGCCATAGGAGAAAAACACACCTAAGTGAAAAAGAGATGAACCCCCAAATAAAGGGAGGTGGACTTGGGCCGCTTTGAACAAGGCCTAATTCAAAATGCCCCCCCCCAGTCGCAGCCTTTGTTCTTCTCTTTTTCCATGTTATCTTTCTTTTTGTGGTTGAGCTCCCGCCCCCGCTTTCAGGTGCGTTGCCGAGAATCTTCCGCATGTCCTCGGAAGTGCTCCTCTTAGGGCTCTCAAGAGGCGAGGCCTCCCGGGCAAGCCGGGCCCGGCCGCGGTCGGCCGATTGAGGTGATCAATGCAGTGGGGCATTTCATTGAGATCCTGGCCGCGATCTTCACGCAAGTGGTCTCTTTCCTCTACCTGGGACCTGCACCTTGAACCATGATTGCAGGAACTCGTGCTAGCTGGCGCTAGCTGTCGAAGCACTTCTCAAATTTTCAACGAAACAGAAAGGCCTTGTGCCTTGTGCAAAATAGACTCGCTCTGTGTAAGGCCTTGTGCCTCATCGCTGGCACCATGTCTGGAGCTGTGCGCTCTGTGATCTTGCAACACTTTGCCAAAGGAGGTACTCTACCACCAGGCAGAACTCGCTTGCAGCAAAGTGTTTGCCGATGTTTGTGGTTTCTTTGTTTTTCGAAAAAGCATGACAGTTTGAACAAAAACTTAACGTTTGACTGGTTGGTGAGGCAAGGATCCAGACTTCGGCGATATCTCCTTGAAGGAGAGTAACCAGGACAGATCTCGTAAGCAATAAAGAAATGTAACGAACACAAGAGGTACTAGGGTGGAGGCCATTTCTACTAGTAGCAAGAAGCTACCAGGTGGAGGCCATCGCTGCTAGGTTGGAGGCCATTACTACTATTATATACTATTATAGTATAGTAGCAAGAAGCTACTAGCAGCTACAAGCTACTAGGTGGAGGCCATCGCTACTAGGGTGGAGGCCATCGCTTTGCTTCTTGTGTTGCACGGAAGCCTAAGCTCGATGAAACGCCACGCCTTTTTTGCAGCATGTTTTGGAGGTCTTGAAGCTCACCAGCCTAGTGAAGTTATTACCTGTGATTAGCTTCAAGAAATGCACTAGCGTAGACCCCAAACAGAATGGTGCAGCCCACAGTGCTGCTGGTGAGACTATTTGGACTTGCTCACCAAAATTGAAGAACTCGGCGTTCCAGACACATGTTAGAGACTTGCTCCAAGCTTGGAAACAAAGGTAACTCAGCAAAGGCGACCCAAAGAGCAAAGGACGCCTAGAGGCCAATGTAAAATTGGTGCAGTTCCAGGGGACATTAAGCTGGCGCAGGATGTGGACACCACGACAGCCATTCAATCACCGGACACCTTTTGTCAGAATTAAGCTCAACGTAGTTTAAGTGCAACAAAACACACTCCGAACTGGTTCGTAGTTTAAGCGCCAAGCGAACGCCAAGAAACTGGTTGAACCAATTGCACCATCCGTGGTAGGAGAGGAGGAGAGGAGTGGCTCACCCAGACTTCCCTCCGCTCTCTGACCCAATCCGGACCCCTTCCCGCTCCCAGGTCGTCGTGCCGAGTCGGCGTATCTTGCGAACCGAAGGCCAAACGCCGCCGAAAGCGCAACACCGGTCGTGCGAAACCGTGCAAATATGCCACGAGCAAGGACAAGGCTGGCAAGATTGTGGGTCTCTGTGTGGGGGTAGCTTTGCTGTTGGGCTTCATCGGGATCGGCTCTGGTGTCAAGGCTCTGTGATTTCGCATTTTCAACAGCTCTTGACGAACATTTTTTCGAGAAGAGCGTCGCTATTAGGTTGGAGGCCGCTACTAGGGTGGAGGCCATCGCTATTCGTTTCCTTGAGAAGACACCACATGCATTGACATGCAGGCTGAGGCGACATCTTTGGAGAGGAGCTTGGAGTGGTTTCTGGTGCTCACCATCGTGCATCTGCCCCTTGCAGTATCAAGCTTGTGACCTTTGCAAGATGCTTTATCCCTGGATTCTGAAGGCTTCTGAAGAAAGTTGCAAAGTACTTCTTCGCTTTGCAGTACTGGTAGTTGGTGTTTTTATGTTGCATTGGCAGAGCGTCAGACAGTGTCAGACACTGCCAAGTCTTGGAAATATACAAGCCGTACGACAGCTTGAAATAGCCCAAGACCAATCAGCTGCGGGTGATAAGATTCGCAATGTAAAGCAGGCAAGCAGTGACTACCTTCCTTCGCACGCAGTTGTGATTGGGATTTGCTGTTTGCAACTAGTATTGCAGCTTCAGTTTTCAACCTTACCTGGACAGGATCATGAAAGGAAGCACATTCTGTGGGAGATGTTCCTTCCTAAAGGCTATCCTCACACTGCTCCTTGGCCAGACTGTTCCGAGGTGTGCGGCAAGCAAAGCAAACAAATATTTGAGGATCTATTTTGCCACATGGAAATAACCTGAGCCCTTCTGGGTCCTTACTAGCAGCTTCCTTTCTACTAGCCCCTCCCTCCTCTTCGCGGCCTAACCCCTCGTTAAACATACAAGATGCAAGTGTAGCTACTGCTTAGCCGCGGAGCATAGCGTGGTTTCTTAGATCACCTGAGCCACAAGGTTCCGAGCTCAGGTGGTTGATTCCTACACGAGTTTCCGGGCTTGGTCGCTGCTCAATGTGATCATCGGCTATCCAAAGCAGATAGTACCTACTCGATGGTGGTTTGGTATGCTTTTGTGTAATAGTGTTTATGCTGTTTATGCTTTAACTTATGTTGTTTAGTTGTGTTTCAAGAGTTTTCTTGAAGAATATTAGAGAGCAAAAGCTTACCCGCTTGTCGGATAAGGTCACTAGTATGTTGTTCTGGGGCAACGTCTATGGTGTTGGCAATTCTGGAAGCTCTCCTGTCACGGCTGTTCTGATTGACATTTTTATGGCCACAGTGGACTGCGTCGTTGGACTTCTATCAGGCTCTGCAGCATGGCATGTTTGTGAGATTCCAGTGAGGAAAGGACTTCATGGGTTTGGGCAACCGCACAACGATGGCCTCCAACCTAAGAGCGATGGCCTCCAACCTAAGAGCGCTGGCCTCCAACTTAAAAGCGATGG